TTAACTCTCAGCTATGTTGAGGGGAGTGTATTCTTGGTTTTGTATTTTTCATTGAAATGACTATGGTAAGTAAACCATCAGAAATATAGGCACTCAACAGGTAGGGCACACCCACGCACACGCGCACACCCACCCGCACCCGCACACACAGGCATGCACACACACACACACACACACACACACACACACACACACACACACACCCCTTCTGGCATATAGATATATACCATAAACAATAAACGGAATCACAGGTTAAAACAAATTATTTCCAGTGTCTCTGTCATGATTTCTTCAGTATTTCACTCTTTCCGAGGATGAATTGAAATGGTAGAAGATAGATAATGGAAAATAAAATTAATACTAAGAGAAACCATTAGTCCATTTTACAACATTTTGCTTCCTGCTTGTAGTAAAAGTGTGGAAATTTAAACCATCAAAAACCCCATGACTGCAGTAAAATTGAGATACTACTGTAATATGTCTAAAACACAGATCATGAAGTAACATAAATTATTATCTGATTCTAATTAGAATCCAAAACAACAAGCTAAGGATCAAATTCAGCATCGGTACCATATTTGATACATTAATAATACATTTAAGTGCTGTGCACACACCGACAATGTGCTTTATAAACATGAATGTTTCTTTGTGAATACATGTTATATGAAACTTTGTTCAAGGAAAAAACACTGATTTGATTTTTTTATTTCAAAATTTAGTCATATTGATTAGTAGCTTGGTAAAAGGATACATCCAGTTAGCTGAGCATATACCTAGTCTCTTTCCCAGAAAATATATATATATATAGAAATAACTCAGATCTTCTGACAATTGGACATGATTAGACAATGCACAGCGATGGGCAGTCACGGAGATGAGAAACCTTCATCATCATCATCATCATCATCATCATCATCATCTGACATCAAAATGAAAGCTTGATACCTTAACAGGAAATGTAACTCAACACCACACTAGAAAATTCCCTGTCACCTTTTATCTTAAAGAGGCAATCCTTCATGTTGAAAAAGTAGTTTAAAAATCTTACGATTTTAAATTCACCTTAGAGGAATCCACGATAAGATCAGCTGTGTTCAGTATAAGATATGTCATCATCCAGTGAATGTCACATCACCATTCAGTAATTTAAAGTTAAACAATGTGTTATACCAATGATGTCAAATATTGATAACAAATACTGACATCTCAGTATTTTGGGGTGACAATATTTTTTCGTTTTACTTTCAATTTTTTTCTTTTTTGTGTTTGTGTGTGTAAGACCCATGCAGTCGATTCGCATTGCTCTCTTTTAACTGGAAATGAAAGGCTATTCATTAAACAAATTCCACTTCATACCTCAGAGTTATAAAGAGTTTTTACATAATATATAATGACATGGATTATATCACACATTACACAACAATTTTGATAATCACATCAACAGAACCTTGACTAAATGTTTTTGTAACAAGTATTGACAGTGTAGCTGAAACTTAACTAAACATATCAGATTTAATGCATCTTGAAAAATGTTTAACACAAAAATATGTATGTTTTCATAAAGACAAACAATTACTTGAAAATCAATAAAAACTTCTTGAGTGTTTTTGATTTATAATGAATGAAACTGAAAAGTACCAGATATTCAGACACTCAGATTGCAGATTTTCTTATCTACATTTTCATTTTTTCCATATCACCACTCAAAGATTATTGTATAAGTCATTTCCGGAGGCCAAAAACTATAATCTATATGTAACTCAACATATCATAAAAAAACAATAAATAAAATGTCTGTGTAACTGTATGTCACTTTGCCAATGCTTGGAGTCGGCTAACAAGGAAGTCTTGGATAGTAATGGATACCTGTGATCTCTTTGATAAATATAAAAGGGAACACAACAGTATAATGCAACTAAATTATCATAAGAAACAGTGCCCATTAAATCATACAGTTCTAATGTCTTGAATCAAAATTTTTGTCATGAAATAATGATACTGAGAGTGAAACCCATGAGATATGAGTCCTAGCATTGTAACTGCAGTCATCCCTTTTGGCTTTGCTCTAGTGACAATATCTGTGCATCAGGACATTTACAATGTGGTTGTTATATTTGTATATCTTATTGTCTATTAAAGTCATATGATATGCACCAAAATTTAAATGTTTAGATTACCAAAACAGGAGCCTTCATGAACAGCAAAACTTGACACTGCAAGTTTCCCAATTTGTAGACTGCATACAACTTTCTGCTTGTAAACTACTTTTTAACAGTTAAATCAATACTTAGAGCAAATTTTTTTTTCTAAATCTGACAAGCAAAATGACAGCATTCAATGTTTTAATTTTCATGACACATCGATTGTAACAAATTCCTTGTAAAAATGTTAGTACCTTGTATCATTTTATCTATCAACATGTTGAATATGTCAAAATGACAGTTTTTAACGAGCTGGCCAACATATAACTGTAAAAGAGCTGACAAGTGACATCCAACTTCAATCTAGCTGGATATCATAATGGTTGAAATACATTATTTACTTAATATTGTTTCTCAAATTCATCAAAAAGTTTAAGATATTCAAAAATTTATTTCCAATATTGTCTGCATCCATCAATCATATAAATGTCAATGATCCCAAAATTTGTAATTCATTATCAGAGTTGCAATCTCTAAGTATTCATTCTGTGAAAACATTCAACACTTTTGAATTAAAGATAAAATTAAGGTGAAGATTTGCTTCCAACATTATCTTAATACTGCTCTGATAGGTTTACAGTGTTTGTTTAAGCCTTGCACTATGGAAGGTGTGTACTCCAGGTTGTGGCACTTCAAATGTCTGTAGCCTGAGTATTGGAGACATCATTTACTATAGATCAGTAGGAAATCTGGCATGTAGGCACACTATTCAACTCTGTATCACAATATAGGTACATAAAGTAACTCATATATATTCTGTCTACTTTTTTTTAAAAAAAATGAAAAAAAAGTGCAAACAATGTTACAGACTTTTAATTACAATTTTCTTATTTCGATATTATATCATTACTGATTCATGAAGCAATTACAGAGTTAAATTGACACTGTTATTATTAAGTGCTGTTAATAAGTCGTTCGTTTGTGCGTGCTGAAGCTACCGGTAACCATGCAGGTACACCGGGTGCAATTAAGCCAAATTGATACCATAAGAAAATTAGCGCATCGTTGGCTATCCCATATTGGCAATAAAATCATACCTGAGGCGTTTTATGATAGCGTGGAAAATACCCCATAGAGCGCGTCTCATACCCGATCAATGTCTTATCAAATCTTTGTTAATACTTATATATAGACACTATTAGCATAAATACGGGCTGTGACATCGACAAGAAATGCTGAAGTAAATACTAGTTTTGACAGTGACGTTTGCGCGCCGACCTGTCATTGACTTATTATTATCCGCCAATTTGTTTACATTGCAACATCGAAATTGACAGCAAACACATGGAAAAATGTATTTGACACTTACCAAGTCCAGGCGGCCGGCCAAATGAAGAAAACAGTAAAATCACAAGAAAATAACATATTGGTCCAAAAATCATGGCATCCGTTTCCTATTCGGATTAAATATATCCATACGACACTATGAACATTTGATGCTTACGTCCAAAACATCGAGACAATGAATATACAGCTAGAAACACCGCTGGATGTTCAATATCCATTGCAGTGACTGCAAGGTGCGCGCTAGTATTTGATCTTAATTGTCCAATCATCAGCTTTGTTACATTCAGCCTCAGATACAAAGAACCAATCAGAGTGTCATTTACTGTTACATGACCTTTGGTCTATTTACATGTGATTTGGGGTCAATGAAGGGTTATGCGTGGAAAATTCATTGATAAACCTGACATCTAGCGGGGATACCGGTAACGAAAAAGTCACGTGGCTTGCCTCGTTTCGTCCTTTTTGTGAAGGTAAGATGGCGGCCCCCATATACTAGAAAATTCTCAGACGAAATTGGACTATTTCTACTCTTAATACACGATTTTACGTTAGAATTCTTTCGCAAACACATACTCCAGAAGTTGATATACTGTCTTCTGTACAACAAGACTAAAAGCATACGTTATTTACACAGGATTTTGTGTTTAAAATTTTGTTAATTCACGAGCCTCGTGTCATGTTGAAACCCCGGGTTACTTCTTAAAAAAAGACAATATGTGGCATGTTATTTCGTGAAGAAAAATGATAATTAGAAAACACGATGTTTTAAGTGAAGTTATTAGATGATTTGATCCTTTTATTGGACCGAAAGGTTTGCAAAATGTAGAATTGCGAGTGACGTCATATATGTCTGCAATATTCTGGCTCCACGCTGACCTCAAACCAGAAGACAGATAATATCTGATATAAAACTTGAAAAGATAAATGATTACGGTTACTTCTCAATTTATCTATTGTGATTGAAGACTCCCATAGACTAGATGAATTCTGATTTCCGAAACGATGTCGCAAGAGCTTGAAAATGTCTAGGCTTTAACAGCCTCTGGCAATGATTGGTAATGATGAGAAATGTACATGTCTGCATCTTCAAGCACACTAAATTGATAAATAAATCATAGGTATAAGAATATCTAAATTGAAGTCGCTATGTTCCCCTTTATTGCGCCAGGTCTGATATCCTTGTCTTGCTTAATCATATGCTTGATCATGGTGTGTGTGTAGGTGTATAAACAAGCATCTGGTTGAGCGAGACAACTGATATCCAAATGAAAATCATTTAATAGTGGTAAATCTTAAGGTGTTCCAAGCAAGTCTTGAAGGAAAATGCTGGTCATTAGATAACCGGGAAAGGCACTAGTGGCAGTCTAAATATCAGGTTGATGTGGAGAGTTGGCGATACTTCCCTGCAAGAAGTCAATTGATGACTTGCCTGAACACCAATGTGTCCTTGGTCCAGTTAAGTCAACTAATCAAACTATCTATGAAGACTTGTAACACACTTCATCTATCAATTTATTTCAGATCTTGACATAAAGCAAAGATGCAGATCTTCGTGAAGACCCTAACGGGGAAAACCATCACTCTCGAGGTTGAACCATCTGACTCCATCGAGAATGTCAAGGCCAAGATTCAGGATAAAGAAGGTTTGTTCTGTTGTTATTGCTATTTTTTGGAAAGTACTGAATAGATATTTGTCAAATTTCATATATATGTTACCACTGTTCTGCAGATCAGAATTTCAAAATGGCTAACAGACATTCATCTTAGATTTTGACATAGAAATCTTGTTATTGCGTTTTCTTGACAAATACCAGATGGATCTTTCTAATTTCATAGTTTCCCTATTGTCCCATATGTGTCCATTTGATGTTGGGGCTGATAAAAGAAACATGGCTGCCAGGCTGCATTCTTAAATTTTAGTATAAGAGTTTTATCACTATATATTTCTTGAGAAGTATTGGAAGGGTTTTTCTCAAATTTCATATATAGGTTCCTCATGGTCCCTAGTTGTGCCTGTCTGAATTTGGTACTGATCTTAGATTTGACAGCCAAGGATTATTATGCTAATGAGCAAGAACAGAGAAAAGAGGAGAAGGAAAAAGATCCAGCATTTAAATCACTGTTTCTAAGAATTTTCAAATTGGATATAATAAGGAACAAGAACACAGAAAAAAATTAGAAGAGAAAGAAGTTTCACTTTTCAAAGACTAGAGACCAAGGAATACATAAAGATCAGACAATGATGGGCACCAACATCCCTCTGGGATCTCATGTTAGTCAATTCATTTAGATTATTTCTGTCCATCGAAATTTTTGTGTTGAATCTATTTGAAAATGATTCTTCTAGTCTTCTCTGCACAAATCAAACAAAAATTACTGATTTGATATCGATACCATATTTAATTTTAAAAAATTATGACAAAGTTGCATCAACCTTCTTATATAAATTCTAATGTTGAAATTTAGGTTTAATTTAGTGGTTTTATTTGTCAGGCATTCCCCCAGACCAGCAGAGGTTGATCTTTGCCGGTAAACAGTTGGAGGATGGCCGCACTCTGTCCGACTACAATATCCAGAAGGGTAAGTGCCACTTCTAAGGTATTCTTTACTATTCCCCACTTTTTTTTTTGAGGAGGGAAGGGAGGGGTCCTTCTGTTTATCCTACTTTAGTTTCACTGTGATCAGTTTGCCAAGTATCAATGTATTTCTATCAAACTTTGTTGCAGGTATATTTTACTATCTTTCACTCTGACTTGTAATGCTTACATTGTTCATTGACCTTAACTCATTTTTTTTTTCTTAAATTCATACACATTGTCTGATGTATTTTTGCCATCTCTAAATCTGGTAATACAAAAACAACAAATGGACGTGCTGGAGGGTTTAGTTTAAAACAATATGGAAAAGAAAACAAACTGCATATTTCAGGTTTGTTGTAAAATTTCAGCATTTGAAAATCATAAAAAAAAGTTGTTCAATTTGATAACATGATTGTCTTTACTATCATAGCTCAACCATAAGTATGTGTCGGACATAAGTACATGCATGTAACATCATTATTTCCAAACTATATTTTGACATATGTTTATAGATATATATTTCATTAAAATGACTAAGTATCAAACTCCAGACAGAAAAGACTACCAGTAAATTCTGGGAGTATTCATCAGTTCTACTGATACTTTTTTATGCAGTCTTGAGTAGTTTCCATTAAAACGACTTAAACGGTAAAAGTTCAAGTCTTCCTCTAAAAGCCATTTATCATCTCTACCATAACCAAGAAAAGAAACAGAAAAATAACATGGGGGTGGGGGGAGGGGGCGGAAGAAGAGATGAATCAAGAAATGCTTGATGAATAAAACTGAAACACAGAGTTGTAAAGGAGGGAGGGGATTAATATCTCACAAGTACTGTTCCATTGAATTCTCAAAAGCTATGTGATGTATTGATCTACCCCAGTGAATAGTGTTTGAGTGTCAGATCTCCTCTGTATTTGTACCATTCAAAGATGTAGTTATTGCAAAATGTCAAGAAGCTCTGGCTTCAACCTTTTAAAACATCTGCCATAAACCAACTGGTAATGAAAGCATTCACTAAGATAAAACTTGTTTCTAGCGAGTAAAGAAAGAATGATGTGTTAGTAATTATTTTGAGGTTTCTGGTGATCAATGCTTCTCTCCTATTGATAATGAGAATCAGACGCTTGGTATGTGTGACTTGAAATAAGTTTATAACATTGTATTAAAATATTTGAGTAATGTTTAATGGTAGAAATCAAAGAAGGATAGAAAAACAATTGAAAATCATACAGAACACAGGGATCCAAGAGTTGGTGAAATAAAAGATTTGTGATATGCAGTATAATTATTTGTTTAACTATTGTATATAAAAATCTAAATTTGTATTGAAAGATGTTAATCACTATTTATGCATTTAACAGAAATTATTACATATTTAATGGAAATTCCCAAAATTTTCAATGCACTTCTGAAAATTTGTTTTCCGATTTACCAACTTTACAAAAATGAGGTTAATTTTTTCCATCACAAACTTGTGAAAAATAGTCCTGGTGTTTCCTTTGTACCATTCTTAGATAGGGATAAGGCTTTTAAAGCTCTGCTGAATATGCACAGTTTCATTTCTGGTAAAAAAATCAAGTATAAAATAGATACACCAATGTTCAGTTTTACAAGGTAAATGTAGACCTGATCTACTGATCAAAGAGAGACAACCCAAATGAATGAGCTGGCTGAAGTTGCCAAACAAAATATATGTTTTTTTACAAGGAAATGGCTGTCCTCTCTCTTTTTAATTGTTATTCTTATCTGGCAGAATCTACCCTCCATCTGGTGCTCCGTTTGAGAGGAGGAATCATTGAGCCTAGTTTGAGGACCCTCGCCTCCAAATACAACTGCGAAAAGATGATCTGCCGCAAGTGAGTACTCTAAACCGTTTGTTAATTTCCTCACTTCTGATTCTTCAATCAAGGATTGACATTATGGAAGTCACAACTGTCAGGGATGGCATTTTCATGCTCTCTAGCTCTAGTGAAATTACTATCACAGTTGCGATAAGAGATTGGTTCATAGTGTTTGCCCTGTGGACCAATTTCAGAAATTGTGATGTGGGCTTGGCAGCAACATTTTAGTGTTGCTATGTTAAGATACTGGCTGTGTTATATCAAAGGTTATGAAGGTTCTGCCCGTAGACTATTAAATGATAAACTCCACTTGGATCTAATGAACATTTTCATCAGTCAAAATATTTGTGAGAATAAATTTCAACGGGTAAAATATTTGGAAAATTGTTTGATTAGGGTGAATTGTGCGACAAAAGGTGGAAATAGTTAGATTAGTATGAATCTTTTTTTGATTTGAAATAAATTTTTCTTTTTTTCTTTTTTGTAGGTGTTATGCTCGTCTGCACCCCAGAGCTACTAACTGCCGTAAGAGGAAGTGTGGTCACACCAACAACATCCGCCCCAAGAAGAAGCTGAAGTAGACAACTAAATGTCATGATTTTGGTGTAAAGTTAAATAATAAAACTTCACACAATACTACAGGTTTTGTTTGGGGTTTTTTCTCTGTATACTTGTTTCATAATTTACTTATTCTGTGTATTGTAGGGAACAGTCTGCAGACATTTAGATGTACAATCTGCCTAAAATCATTACAAACTCTTATTTGATTATGAAAAGGTGGTACCACATTTGTCAGCACAAAAACATTTTTATTTCTATATAATTTATTCTTGTACCAAAGTCAGGGTCACTTACTATATTTAACAGTTGAACACAAACAACCAACCATACATGCGAAATGTCCCATGCAAAACATTAATGCATGGGATTCTAATTCGGGCTCCTTCTGTCCGAATGCTTTTGCAGGCTATTATAACTTGGAAACCGCTCAACTCAACTTCTCAAAACTTGCTGTATATATTAAGTTGGTACCTTAGTTATGCCTGTTGCTATTGACAACAACTGATTTTTTTTGATTTCCTGTTACTTTTCATTACTCAAGAGCTTAATAATTGTTGCATAAATTTGTTCATGGACAATACCAAGCTCTGCTGAAATATCAAATACACAGGATCTACACCAAAATATAGACTCTTACTAATCCTGTAAGGTTGATATATTTACATGATCAATGAAGTAACAGCGACAGTACGACAAGGATATTGTCAAATTTTCAAGACAATCGTCTCCTTATCGAGACACAAATGTTGCATAAATTACATCACATACATAGAACATGAAACAAATATAAAGTTAAATTGAGAGCGGAGAGTAAAGTTTGGTGTCTTGATCTTTATCTCAATTGTAGTATGTTTTGCAACAAAAGCGGTAGTCTGTTGGCCAAAATTTAATTAGGAATTGTTTGATTTTTTTTTTTCGAATCGGTTCATGTATGTGTAGTTATGATAAAAGTTATTTGATTAAAATAATCGGATAATGAACTGAAAAAATATCATTTTGAATATGGTCAAATAGGTTCCAGATTCGTCAACTCGCCACAGAAAACACACTGTAAAATTAGAATATCTGCTTCCAGACAATAATTGCCACCCACTTTAATTTGAAAGGAAAGCAGAATTTGGAATTACAGGAAAAGTGTGATAAATTTAGCAAGTAAGTTCGAAAAAAATCAGGTGGGTGGTGCTATAATAGTTGCCTCAGTAGTGGCTTTTGATGTACTGACTGCCAGATGGGTCTGTAACAATAGGTCATCTCTCATGCTGAGTGCAAAACAGGTTTGGAGTTGGTTGATTCAGTGTCGTTCAACTCCAAATAATTGAATGACGTAACAATATATATAAATCATATTTTGGTTTTACATCAACAGCCGGGTCGGGGATAATTTCAGGCTTTGCAGTATTTACTTTTAACATTGCTGACTTTCTGAGTGTGCTCAGTTGCAACATTCATGTTTTAGCATCAACTTTCCTTCTTTAGACTTGTCAACAATCAAAATGTCTGGAATTAGATTATTTGTAAAACGAAATGACCTTGACCCATAGTTAAGTTCACAGGGTTCATACAATTTCTGACGGTTAACCAAATGGTCTAGAATCCTGATATTGACAGGTTTCGATGTTGAAATCTGACGTTATATGGGGAATATTAATTACATGAACCACATTCAAGGTCACAAGGGTTCAATCCTTAAAAGTCTTCAAACAACTTATTAACATAGACTGAATGTTAGTGATGTGATAATGTATTTGTGAAAACCTTGACTATCAGGTGAGCAGTACAGGGTTGGTATGCATAAAAATTCTTAAGTGGTTAAGAATATGCTTAAGTTGTAAAACTCTGCTTAGCAGACTGGATTTTGTGCTTAGCATCTTGCTCATTTTTGTGAGTGGGTTGCATAAAATTTCTTATCTCTTAAGAATATTCTTATCTTTAAACAACCTTGAAATTTCTAAGCAAGTTACTTAACGCCAACAAAATGACCACCGCTAATGGACAGCATAATGCACCTCAACAGTTTGCAAGGGCGTTGAGACGAGGAAGACATTTTAGAGACAGGTTTGACCCACTTCAAAACTTGGATGCATTTGAACTTTATCAGAGATTTAGATTTGATAGGGAGGGAATTCTATTTATTACTGATATTGATAAAGACGATATCACGCCTGCGATGGGAAGAAACCACAGCTTACCTCCACATTTTCAGGTTATGATTGCATTAAGATAGCATGCTACTGGGAAAAAGCAACTTTGTATCGGTGATGATTTTAATGTTAATCAGTCAACTGTGTCTAGGGTGATCCAAAGAGTGACAAATGCTCTAAACAATCCAAATGTTGTCACGAAATTCATTGCTTTTCCTGCCGAGACAATCAGAAAACACCAAGAAGATTTTTATGCAGTTACGAGACTTCCTAGAGTTGTTGGGGCAATTGACGGGACACATATCCGCATTTTACGTCCCAGTCGAACGAGCCAGAATTTGTAAATAGGAAATATTTCCATTCAATTAATGTCCAGATCGTCGAAGATGCAGAACAATTTCGGGACTTATCGGAATTCAATCATCATGTATACACGTAACCTACCTATGATCATTGTCTGCCTCTTGTGATCGGACAGCTCCGATTTCCCTTTCAGCATTAGCTATCTTTTTCCAAGTCTCATTCCTCTGGGTTGTTATCCCAGCCCCAAACTTGTTTTCCTCCACAAGTTTTGTGAGATGGAGACATTCGTCGGCAGTCCAGTTCGGTTTTCGTTTTTTACAGGGCGTCTCTTCCGTTTTTGAGGCCATTTTGTCTACATACAATTTCAATGCGATTGAAGAAAGCAGACGACCGGGCACGCGATTTTATTCACGTGCCTTTGTTTGTAAACAGAAAGTGCGGGAATCGGTATGTCGCTTCATTAGCAACGGTTATTTTAAGAAAGTTGCAGTCTGCTTTACTTAAAAAACTAAGCATGGTGCTTAGAATTTTTATGCATCAGAAAATAAGCAACTTGCTAAGTAAAGTAGGTTGAAAGTGTATTTAAGTAAAAAAAAAAATTAAGAAACATTCTTAGAATTTTTATGCATTCGAATCCAGAACATTAAGTATGTAATTTTTAACAGTGGCATTGCTGTCAACAAATATCTATTGACGGCTTTCTAGGTGAGAAACTATGATGGAAGAAGCATTTTAGATGATTGAATATTTCTATTCTGGACCAATATCAACTTTCCAATTTAAAGTATTGATAGTATTATGTAGGTGACTAGAATTGACGTCACTTTTAAGTTTGGAGTGTGATTCTCTCTCTCTCTCTCTCTCTCTCTCTCTCTCCAAATAAGTTATGAGTTGATATAAATTGCATTATTATATTTTGTTCGAAACAGGATACATACCGATTTTCTTCCACCGTCCGAGAAGTCTACTTGTACTAGCTGAAAACAAGTACCTGTTATGATCACCTATTTCTCGAAGTTACATCAAACATGTCTATATTGATCAATCGGAATTGTATAACCTTGACATTTATACTAAGGGGCCCTAGATCATACATTATATCGACAGAATGCAATTTACAACAATTGATAAAGAATTAAATTAACGAATTAAAGACAGAATCTTTTGTAATCACACATCCTTACATAGATAAACATTTTGCACAGACAATTACGGAAATTCAAAAATAAATACCATTTAATAAAGACACGGTTAACGTGTGCTCACAAGAAATCCTAACAGTGTACAAAACCTCAGTATACCGTACCTCACACGGCACCACCATATTTATAGAGGCGATTAGGAATGGGAGCAAGCGGAGCACTCTTTTAAGCAGCTTTGTTCATGTGACAACCCATGCTTGACAGGAAAATCACACTTGGCTTCTTTTAGAAGATATATATAAAACACGCTCTTGTATTCTGTATATATACAACAGAACAAATTTTAATCGCGGTGTTTCAAATATATTCATTTCAAATGCACTCATTTCAGAATGTCAATGAAATCAGACAGTGAAATAATGTCGGGAATTGCACTTTGTAAATTGTGGTAATAAATTTCGGTCTTCACCTCCCTTTAACTGATTTCATTTCATTATTTTTACATGCTAACATTAGGTATCACGGGATAGGTAACGTATATAGAACGTATGTGAAAGAGATCCACAACACCAGAGCATAATAGCTTCAAAACCTCACCATATTTAAGTTTTTCCGCAAAAAGATTACTACGTAGTTAGTTGTTTTAAACATGGATACCTTCTAACAGGTTGATTTTATTCGTTGCATTGAATTTTAAGTGAAACAGCACCATGTATGCAAATTACTTTAAAACTACATAGACTACGTCATGACACCAATATAAGAAATGCACCAAAGGGAGGATGGTGGGCGTGTCTTTGCTTCTAAAAAAGGGAGATTTTAAATCCGAATCAGAAATGATCTTACTGTTGTCTAGAGAAGGAACTAAGAGCAGAAGCCATCGAGAAAGAAAGCGAAGAACCCGAAGACTTTGTTTACCGGGTCCGTGGGCCTCCATGGAAACGGAGAGTAGTCAAACTACAGGCAATTAATATTTAACAATCGGGAATAGGATGAATTAATTAATTTTGTAGGGATCATAAGATTTGTGTGAATTGGACTAATGAGAGAGTTATGTTTAAATCGAAATACTGATCAATTCTAAAACTATAATGTAGATATGGATATAGAGGCATTTATTTTGCCTGCGTCCATCAAAATCTTATCTTTTAAACCTCACTGTGTCCAAATTTGACAACACATTTAAATGAGTTATTTAATATGCAAATTGGATTTGATTTTGATCAAGATCTACTTATCATGTAAGTAATCAACACGGACTAGATGAATTCGATTTTAATTTGCTGGTGATTGGAATATCGAGAAAAGCGGACTTACCTCTTACCTTTTCACTTTTTTTTCAAAGTTTTATCATCGCAACGCAGTAAACTATTACAATGAACTTATTGGATTTTTTTGTTTCATTGAATGATATATGACTTACCAGTAATCATTATTTGATTCCAAGATGAGCTTTTGCATTATACATTAATCATAGAAAATGTGCAACACATAAAGCAGGCATCATCTTACAGTGTAAATAAAACCGGTCAGGCTTGTGTACTGTATATTATTTGGGAAATTTTTAGTGTAAGAGTAGGGGTGCAGAGCTTGTTGATATGGAGATATTTGTTTTTTGGCATTTTAGCATAATCAGTCATTAATGTTCTGACCACATCTTTGTCATCTTTGTTTTTCTTGACACATGTTTTGCATTCCACACAAACACAAATACAAAATGTGTTCAATAGATGGAATAAACAACATACTTAATAAAAAATTTAAATTATCACTTCATCATGTGTAGCGTAACCTCTCTCTCTCTCTCTCTCTCTCTCTCTCTCTCTCTCTCTCTCTCTCTCTCTCTCTCAATTAATTTAAACTTTCCTACGTTGAAAACAATAAATAACGGCAAGTCAACAGAATCAAAATCGATGAAACGAAGGCTAAATTCTAACAAATAGATTTAGCACAAGTTCAAAATAAACAAGAAAAATAAGACCAGTTGTTCTGTAAGGGTAGGCGTCTTCAGTGACTACAGTCACTTTGTGATCTAGATTTTTGACAACTAGACAACCGATAATTCATTGGATCTCTGAAAAAAATGAGATTTCGACAACAGCGATTTTTCACAAACTCCCAACCCATAGTCCATATTTGTGACTTATAGTGGCATGCATATATATGGATCTGGGTTGGGAATCCATGCCAAGCCCCTGAGTCACTATGATACATATATATGGACCATTGGTTGAAAATAAATGCCAAGTCCCTATGTCACTATAATACATATATATGGACCGTGGAAGGGGAATTTGCGCCAATACCTGTGTCACTATAATACATATACATGGACCGTTGGTTGAAAATACGTGCCAAGTCCCTGTGTCACTATAATACATTTACAATGTATATGAACCGTGGCTTAAGAATTGGTGTCAAGTCCCTGTGATTTCGACGAACCTTTCCCTTAGTATCTAGTAAGTTTGACCGTCCGTTGTCGACATCTTACACGGAAATATTCTATTATAACCTCCTCTACTGTCTTTGTTACTTTGATATCAAATGGAAAATTCTGACAAAAGACAAATAAAAATGATTACGTTCATATTGCTTGGTGGAAAGCTTTACCTGTATGTTTCGTGGAAGGAAAATACTAAAGCAGCGGTTTGAAGAAATGTTTGTCGTGTCTTTGATTTCCAATATTGAAGTAAATATACGATTGACATGGTTAATAAGTTTCTAATTACTGACACTCGAGAAATTATCAGTAAATATATACATGTATATCTAAAAGTGAAACTGAAGGACTTGGCCAGGACTTTGTGACCGGTTTTGATAAATTCTGCGATAAATTTTAAACTAGCAAGACAGCATGTCGAATGATGATACAGCAAAGTTGATTCCCATGGGCGTGTCAGTCTGTTGCAATATATTACCACCAAAGAATTTTACCTTTTTCACGATTATATTTTCAGTATATTCCCGTGTGTGTTGATGGGGGACTTTCGAAGTGTAATATAATACAAGCCCTGCTCATATAGAAACTATTGTTACATGTCCTCTGTCTTGCACCCGGTGTAAACTTTTTTAAAACTCCTTCGAATTGGAATGGTGTACACTAATTATTGTTACAGTGGAAAAATGTAATTTTATCAAGATTTTTAGGAGAGGGGGTACATAATTGGCCAAAATATTTTTTTATCAACACTATATGAATTGTTCTAAAGAACCTGATAGGAAAGACATGTGGCAAGCAGGTAATATGTGGAAAATGTGCGTCTTATGGGGGAGAGGGAAATGTGACGTCTTGTCCACCATATCGTTTGTATTTTTTATTTATTTACCATCATATACTGTGTAAAATTGTTCTGCTGTGAGGTTTTTGTTTGTTTGATTGTTTGGTTGGGGTTTTTTTTTGGAGGGGGTGTTACCATTTTCTTCAAGTTGGCCATTGTTGACAGTGATTTCATAGAAACTTTTCACTTTGAATTGGTTGTGTTAAAAGAATTTCGAGTCTAAATACTGCTTTCTAGTCCAAACCACGATGTATTTTAAACAATGGTAAGATGATCTTGTGTATATGCTCAAATTGATAGTTTTTGTACTAGTCATGTCTAGTGTTGTTTGTCTGTATATCAGTTGTAACCATTTCTTTATCGTAATATAGACATTGTAATCACCATGACAGGAAGATATCTTTACCCGAATTACATCTTCAGCCGCCATTTTTTCGAAGAGTTGTCCCTTCTCCTAGCCAGCATTCTTCTCTTTATCCTAAGACTTTTTTTCAATTCAATTTGATCGGTTTTATAATAAAATGATATGAAGTTTAGTTCTCCTTCAATATCTCTATATTGTCTGGGGATCTCTCTCTGTCTGTTTTCCAATCATCATCAAAACATATTTATTTTTTTTCCGAATGAGTTCGGCGAAGAGAATGAAATAGGTCATATACACTGAAATGAATTAAATGATGTCTTCAATCGGCATTTTGATTGGTTAATTTTTAATTGTTTCATTTTGTTCTTTATAGTTCACGTGGCTTTGATGATCCCTCAATTAGTTTTCTACTTGGTAAACTTCAACGTGAGGTAAAGAGTTGTAATCAAAATTCGCCATTTTTCTTAAACTATTTACGTCATTTCTCTCCTAAAGTGATTACGTCATTATCACTACATTAATTCAGTACTATCCAAACACCTTAATTACTTGCACAGCAGTATGTTATACTTATCTATGCTACAAAATGTAAAAATGTTCGTGCGAGTTATCTCTCTTGAGTAATGTAACACACACGCTCTCAAACTAACAAATATCTGCACGAATTAATTTATTAATTTTTGGTATTTTATCTTTTCTAAAGAATTTCATTTTCATGATGTTAACTTGTTATTGGAATGAACCATTATTTGTTATCTATGTCATTGTGGTCCATTCAACATTATATTTTCACCTCAAGGAGGAATTTAAAGAATTTCGGCAGGGAAAATGGGCCAAGTTGATTCATTTTTATGTAACAATGTTTATTGCTATTATCTATAGAATAAACTGTCACCGTATATCAAGTCTGTATAACACAACACGTGTCCGTTTCGCCTTTGTTTGATAATGTTTCCGAGGGTAGACAGAGCATGCTGATATGATGTTTCCGGGGGTAGACAGACCATGCTGATATGATGTTTCCGGGGGTAGGCAGAGCATGCTGATATAATGTTTCCGTGGGTAGACAGAGCATGCTGATATAATGTTTCCTTGTGTAGACAGAGCATGCTGATATAATGTTTCCGGGGGCAGACAGAGCATGCTGATATAGTGCTTTCGTGGGGCAGACAGACCATGCTGATATAATGTTTCCGGGGGCAGACAGAGCAAGCTGATATGATGTATCTGGGGGTAGGCAGACCATGCTGATATAGTGTTTCCGGGGGTAGACAGACCATGCTGATATAATGTTTCCGGAAGTAGGCAGACCATGCTGATATAATGTTTCCGGGATAAGGCAGAGCATATTGATATAGTGTTTCCGGGGGCAGACAGACCATGCTGATATAATGTTTCCGGGGGGTAGACAGACCATGCTGATATAATGTTTCCGGGGGTAGACAGACCATGCTGATATAATGTTTCCGGGGGTAGACAGACCATGCTGATATAATGTTTCCGGGGGTAGACAGACCATGCTGATATAGTGTTTCCGGGGGTAGACAGACCATAGGCAGACCATGCTGATATAATGTTTCCGGGATAAGGCAGAGCATATTGATATAGTGTTTCCGGGGGCAGACAGACCATGCTGATATAGTGTTTCCGGGGGTAGACAGAGCATGCTGATATAATGTTTCCGGGGGTAGACAGACCATGCTGATATAGTGTTTCCGGGGGTAGACAGACCATGCTGATATAGTGTTTCCGGGGGGTAGACAGACCATGCTGATATAATGTTTCCGGGGGTAGACAGAGCATGCCGATTCATACAAAATATTTTTCAATTCGTTCGGAATGGAAATTTCATTGATCTATAAAGAAATGTTTATAAGTGTCAAATTTTCCATTTCAAAATAAGAAAATTAATGTTAGAGATGATACGCAGTTATATTCAGAACAATAAAAACCGGATGATTATTTTCATCTTCTAAAGCAAAGAAAATGAATATGTCTCATAGCCTTAAAATCAAATAAAACAAGACGATTTACACAAGCTGCAAGCTTGTTGTCAAATATTTTTTTATCTGTTTATTCTGTGTCTTCTTGTATTTCAGTAACAACGAATAAAATATTTTTAAACTAAATCAAAAAGACAATAAACAAACAAACTCTACAATAAAAAGAAATATTAGCTGCAAATTGTTTCCAGCAAACACAATACTTTCAGACTTTAATATTTTTAATAAGTAAAGTCACTTGTGTATTATTCTTCATGGTTTATTACCTGTTCCCATTAAATGATTTTAAATGATTGAAATATGTTCCCAGCATAAGTAAGTTTGGGTTTTAAGAAAATATTCACTGAACATAAAGGACGGACAATTATAAATGTATTATACTTGTTTGTAAGTCCACAACTTGGTTGATAGTTAATGTGGGATTAAAAAAATACGTCGAAATTGTTCTTTTTGAGCAACAGAGGTTTTTATAGGCTTCTCATGGTCCATCCATCAACATGTCACCCTTCTTATCTCACGTCACAAATATATGACGTCATTGCTGATATGACGTCACATCAGTGCACTCTCCCATGTGTCGGATATAATCATGATGGCTATCGCCGCTTCTGAAATCAGAGAAAACAGGAATATGATGTAAAATATACATATAGTCATTGTGTGAAGCAAACGACACTCATCCTTCCGGAACACATGGGTCCGTATAAATCTACATTTTGTTGATCGCATATATGAGTTGTCGTTTGACCAACCACCCTTTATTTACAGCGCACAGGGTAAACACAAAGAACACGTGGTCTGTAAGAGTCACCATACTCTCCCAGGAAATTTCGCAGATGATTTAAGTGATACTATCACGTTTGTAATTGTTCACTTATTTGAAAGGTATCACTGATTCTCGTGTCATCAATTTTTGCTTAATTCACGGTTTCAAATACGTCATCAATTCATGTGCAGCTGTTTATGTGTTATCCATGCTCGTTGCTCAAGGGGTCACGATCACTTTCAATTTTGCCATGACATGTTCCAGGGGTACAGAGAGCGAGAGTGATCGTAACCCCTGGAGTGTCGAGGATGCATATCGTCACTTCTTGAGTGTTTGAATTGTGTTTTAGAGACTGAATACCTACCCAGAAAATCAAGTTTTTCATCCCCACTGAGATCCCCCAATTCAATCATTTTCGATGAAACCTGGTTGGCTTCCTCGTCGGGGAATTCGAGACTATTTTTGAAAAACAAGAGTACTTCTGATTGCGTCAGGAGTCCATCATAATTCACATCGCCATACTCCAGCATCATCTCCGCCATATCGGATGCATTGCTTCGTTTGGCATATCTCTGTTAAGTAAATGATATATAAGTATTTTGAAGAATGGGATTTAAGCTGTGATAACTTCTAGCGTAATGACAAATATGACATGTTTTCAGGAAAATGAGATAAATTGTATTCACTCACATTTGTACATTTTCAGCGAAGTTCAATTGCTAAAACATTTAAAACATTCTAACTTTCTAATTTTTAAATCTGGATGCTCGGTTGAAACTTCATAAAAATCCGATTGATGATAAATCATTTAAACCAATAGCTGAACGACTGTTTTAATTACTATGGTTACCAATAAATTGAAGTATGACGTCACGGCTAAATTAGCGTCCGAGTACAAGCAATATAACTAAGTTGTGTTTGTTTGCTTACTTTTTCTCTCGACAACTGCCAACGTCATTTTAGGTGGGATTTCATTGTAGAAGATTGTGACTACCTCATAGAACGTGCAAGACGTCCGCCATATTTAATCAAAGCAGACACGCCCACATCAACACAGGGCAAATAGTGATATCAACTTTCTGTGAAACGCTAACAGATCCGAGCAGTGATCGCTAAATCAATCACCTCTTTTCTTGAAGTTGCCAAGTATGGTACTCTACAGCATCCCGTTGTCAAACGGATACTGATGGGTAACATTTACACAGAAAACAAGCCGATTCTGTCATATTAGTCTTTTTCTTACTGATTCGTCTATCTACGGGGTAAATATAGAATTTCTTATGATAGTTTCATATTCTTTTGAAGATAGAGGTCATACAACGAGTTGTTGTGGTAAATGTTTTTCTTTCACTTGAGTTTGTAATTTTTCAAAAGTGACAAAACACGAGTTTTAGTGGGTGCTTTTGTATATACCACGGTCACAAGTTTGTGTGAGCTTTTTCTACCACAAGGCTATGTTGAATTGACCTGTTCTGTACCGTCATATGTTTTGTAAAGGTCATCAGTTTGGGCGTAATGATATGACCTATAGTGAAATGCAGCTAGTTAATGTGCAAAACTAACAATTTAAGAAATACACGGAAGCATTGTAGCCCATAAGAACTTATAGCTAGAATTTAATTGTTTCGTTAGCTCCAAAGCGAAAAAAGAAAGAAATCAAAATAGAAAAGATAATTATTACAGAAACAATCGCGAACTACATTTTTACAGGTTTTAATTTCCGTGAGTGCGTGAAGCGCCTTTTCGGTCAAAGTTTGTCGTGTCGGCCAGTCAAAACATGCTAAACAGTTGAAATGATTAATTGACGCCTTTGGAATTGAATAACACCCATCTATTGTGGTTGAAGAATAATAACGCTAAACACTGTAAACATCATGACGTCATCAAATGTTTTTGTATATGGTACCTTGACAAGTCTGCTTGACACTGCTTCGGTCCGCTGTGGAATGGTTGGAAAGGTAAGGCACGTGCAGATAATTGCTGAGAAGAATAATACGCGGTCAGTCGCAACAAACTTCATCCTTTCCTGTAAAATAATGTATCATACATCAAACACTTAGTATAATTGAAATATGCTACACGCCAAGATAGCTTCCGATAATGGTTCATGTATTTCATATCGATTATGCAATATGGAGAATGTCAGATACAGGGATGATAATTAATCGGGAACCGTCGGCTACTTATATAAATGAGGAAGTACGGAAAACGCCGATGGTTCCCGACTGAGATGGTCGTTAGTTCTGTAGAACCGGAAGTAAAACTGATAGAGCACGCTTGCCCTGTTTGCTGGGTTTATTTTGAGGCATGGTGTCCGTAAAATAATTGGTGGATGCCTCACTGAACACAATGTGGAAAGCCCGCTAGATTCCAAGCAATGGAGGTAAATGTCTTGTTCGAAGACACTATCATAACAGCACGGGCCATTTCCGTGATCTGAATTTTCTAAAACTGAAAGCGTCTTGACCCATCCTCACCGTTCGCATTTTATTTTTTTATCAGCATACAAACCAAGTACATACATCTTTTAAGTATCAACGTATATTCAACGTTTGTCAAACTCGTCAATACAGTATATGTCTGACGTGTCAAACATATTCATCTTTTGTCAAACGCATCATCAACATAAGTCAAACAAGTTTCAGTGTCAACCGTGTGTGGACCATGTCAGTACATATCAAGTGTTTGTAATATGTTTAGGTGTCCGCTTACAGGTCGGATCAACTATCTTACCCAGAACAACGTCCAACCTATATTCCATATCCTTATTGTCGTGCATATCAATAATTCATAATGATCCCGTGATAGATATGAAGTTTATAGCTTGCCACAGAACAAATTCTACTCAGGTCTATCTATAATGTTTCAACGTCAATAGCTTTTACATCCAGAGCCGACTAATTGTGGGGCTCCAACGGGATCCAGGGAGACGTCTCCAAGGTCGGCATATACAGGACATAGGAACACACAGGTGGAACAGTAGACCAACTTTTAGCGTGGAGAGGACTGAGGGGAAGAGAAGGTGGGACTCTTGCGTGTATTTCTGAGATCAAACGGGACCTTTTATGGCCATATTAACCGATTTGATCTGTTCCTGTCATCTTTTCCCCGACACCCCTAATCATGTGATCTTGCTGTTGCCAGGACGTCAAGTCCAAATAAAATATAGCATCTAAAGATCTAAATTATAAGGTTATCGCTCAGAGATGAAAGGCGCGCGACTTCCGGCTACTTCCGGTGCCAAGTAATTACTTTCTGGATTATCGTCGGAAAACAATTCTTAGATAAGATAAAGTATATTAAAAAAGAATGAATAATTGAATTCTATCATTAGAACACTAAATTATTCAAAGACACTATTTGAACGTATAAAAACTTGCATTTAATAGCGGTGGTTTATGTGAAGAAAAAACGAAAACCACCGGTTTTATTTTCATCGTTTTCTGTTTCATTTTACGGGAATTTTGATGTGATGACCCCAAGTAAGCAATGACCCCATCCCAAGAGAGCGTTGATGTCACGAGGTGCAACATCTTCAGGAATGCATTGTGGTTCTGCTCCATTCATTGGAATAGAACATAATCCAGAGAGTATACACGTGTTAACATTCACTGTTGATTATAAATGACGTAAAGAACACGTTGATTTATCAAAACTGACACCACGTGCGAGGCGACTTTTGCTCCTTCAGGAGTGAGGCGTCCCATAATGCACCGCGGTCCTCTGAATCGCAATATACTTGTACAGTGAGCCGCCTCACTTCTTCCTCGCCACACCTCCATATGCTTTCCATAGTTAAAAAAGTTCCATCGTTAATATTAACGGAGCATTATTTTGTCACCATATCATTATCCTATCCTGAGATTTAAAGCTAACTAGGTGTACAAATGAAAACAATTTATTTATGTTTTGTTCGGCGAAAAAGTATTTTTTAAAAAGTTCGACCCATTTTCAAGCTCAGCAAGGGACTCATGGAGATTTTATTATTCAAATACAAACTTAAAACTATCAATATTGTAAAGGAAATAACTTCCGAACAAACCTAGAGTATTGTCAACTGGAGTAGATATATTTGGTAGTCTGAACAACATATGGTGACCGGATTTTCCATCTTGTCAGTTCACGTGTCCATTAATCTAATACACAGTTTAGTATTGTCACTGCCCGAGGTCAGTAGAAAGGTCATGATGCCTACAGACCAACATCGTAATACACCGATATTTATAATTAATGAAGAATCATATTGTTGACGGTTTCTGGACTAACTATAAACATTTCATTAACTATATTACTAAAGTGGACTGATACAGTTAGACTGAAGAACTGGTTCAGTTAAACTGAAAAACTGGTTCAGTTAGACTGAAGAATTGGTTCAGTTAGACTGAACAACTGGTTTAGTTAAACTGAAAAACTGGTTCAGTTAGACTGAACAACTGACTCAGTCAGACTGAAGAACTGACTCAGTTAGACTGAAGAATTGGTTCAGTTAGACTGAACAACTGGTTTAGTTAGACTGAAAAACTGGTTCAGTTAGACTGAAAAACTGATTCAGTTAGCCTGAAAAACTGGTTCAGTTAGACTGAAGAACTGGTTCAGTTAGACTGAAGAACTGGTTCAGTTAGACCGAAGAACTGATTTAGAATAGAATAGAGCTATTGAACTACAGGAAATAATCTGAAATTAATTGTTTCACATCCCAAATTTAATGTATGCTTGTGTGATGCTGAAAAAATATTTAAGAAAATATGGTTTGAACTAAATACCACAGAATATACAATGTATTTATATATATACAATGTATTTATATATATACAGGAAATTGGTATTCTGCTTTTATCAGAGAATGAACAAACAAAAACAAAAAAAACATTTTTAATGGAAAGGAGTTTAAACATTTTCTTTTTTCCCTCTAATAAACTGAAAACGTTATTTATTTCACCATAAGTTTACCATTTATATGTGTTATTGATTTTTCGTTTTTTTTTTTTTCAGTCCTTCTCCGGGACATTTTTCTAGTTTCTGTGTATTATTAAGTTCAAATCGCAAAACCTGTAACGTGGAAGGTTTTAATTAGGAATCTGTGAATGAACACATTCAAAATACAAATTTAATTTCAACTCTGTTAAACAAAGGTAAAATCACCAAGCAGCAATCACGGAATACTTTCATTGTTACAGAAACATTCATTTGACACCGTCTCAGTTTTTTTTCTTTTCTTTTTTAGTTATGAATTCGTGTGAAGATCTTAATTTTGCTATTGTAAGGAGTGTATCGTTACAAGCATTAACTTTACACCGCGTGTGTGATGTTTGTGTAAACAATAATCTTGAAAAACAAAACGTTTCCCTGTAGAAACAATTCAAGGTATAAAAATAGATTTTTAACCAATAAGAAAACGTCTTACCCGTCAGTTCCCTCAGAAACAGTGGATTATTAATGATCTATCATCCACTTATCCTATTGTGGCATGCCATACCCACGATAATCAAGCTTTATCTTATCCGACTGTGGCATTCCCTAACCACGATAAATCAGCTATCACTAATCCGACTGTGGCATTCTTACCTCGTTAATACAGCCACCACTGATCTAACTATCTTACCTCGTTAATACAGTCACCACTGATCTTACCTCGTTAATACATCCACCACTGATCTAACTATCTTACCTCGTTAAAACAGCCACCACTGATCTAACTATCTTACCTCGTTAATACAGCCACCACTGATCTAACTATCTTACCTCGTTAATACAGCCACCACTGATCTAACTATCTTACCTAGTTAAAACAGTCACCACTGATCTTACCTCGTTAATACAGCCACCACTGATCTAACTATCTTACCTCGTTAAAACAGTCACCACTGATCTAACTATCTTACCTCGTTAAAACAGTCACCACTGATCTTACCTCGTTAATACAGCCACCACTGATCTAACTATCTTACCTCGTTAATACAGTCACCACTGATCTAACTATCTTACCTCGTTAATACAGCCACCACTGATCTATCTTACCTCGTTAATACAGCCACCACTGATCTAACTATCTTACCTCGTTAAAACAGTCACCACTGATCTAACTATCTTATCTCGTTAATACAACCACCACTGTTAATACAGTCACCACTGATCTAACTATCTTATCTTACCTCGTTAATACCTCTTTAATACAGCCACCACTGATCTAACTATCTTACCTCGTTAATACAGCCACCACTGATCTAACTATCTTACCTAGTTAAAACAGTCACCACTGATCTAACTATCTTATCTCGTTAATACAACCACCACTGATCTTACCTCGTTAATACAGCCACCACTGATCTTACCTCGTTAATACAGCCACCACTGATCTTACCTCGTTAATACAGCCACCACTGATCTTACCTCGTTAATACAGCCACCACAGATCTAACTATCTTACCTCGTTAATACAGCCATCACTGATCTAACTGTCTTACCTCGTTAATAAAGCCACCACTGATCTAACTATCTTACCTCGTTAATAAAGCCACCACTGATCTAACTATCTTACCTCGTTAATAAAGCCACCACTGATCTAACTATCTCACCTCGTTAATACGGTCACCACTGATCTAACTATCTCACCTCGTTAATACGGTCACCACTGATCTAACTATCTTACCTCGTTAATACAGCCACCACTGATCTAACTATCTTACCTCGTTAATACAGCCACCACTGATCTAACTATCTTACCTCGTTAATACAGCCACCACTGATCTAACTATCTTACCTCGTTAATACAGCCACCACTGATCTAACTATCTTACCTCGTTAATACAGCCACCACTGATCTAACTATCTTACCTCGTTAAAACAGCCACCACTGATCTAACTATCTTACCTCGTTAATACAGCCACCACTTATCTTACCTCGTTAATACAGCCACCACTGATCTAACTATCTTACCTCGTTAAAACAGTCACCACTGATCTAACTATCTTACCTCGTTAAAACAGCCACCACTGATCTAACTATCTTACCTCGTTTAT